GGACTTAGGCTGTTACAAATGGTATCAAAGCTAGGTTTCGCTCCTGGGTTACACAATAATCTCCTAAATTTCAAATTAACAAGAAAGCAAAGCAAAAAAAAAAAAAACAGAGAGAGAGTAAGAATATTTACGAGAAAGAATGGACCCCAGCAGCCGGCCTAGAGGGTAAAGTGATGTCCATTTCATTTCTTATCTGCGACGCCAAGATAAGAAAAGAATCGTCCTGGCTGATTACCAAAACACATGAGAGATCGGCAGTGATAATAATGAATGCAGTGTGCAGCTACAAATAAAGGACCGAAAGTGTTACCCACATTTCATATATAACGTAGATAAATTAACCTCCATCATTTCTAATCCCAGTTAATTACCTTCTAACCAAAGCCAATAGTGATTTTAACCGTGCACCACACACAATTATTTAATATCATTACCACACTCCATTTTTCCTTTCTATAATGATTTACTTTGTCGAGGATGGTTGGGAGGAAGTCCCACGTTTGGCGGCTAATTAAGAAAATGATCCTGAGTTTATGAGCAAGTAATACATCTTCATTGGTACGAGGCTTTTTAGAAAAATTAAAAGCAAAACTAGGCGCATTTATGCTCAAAATAGACAATATCGTAACGTGGTGATTCTTTAACGTTAGTATGGAAGATAAGGTAATATTGTTGCCCATTCCATTATAGGCCCAACATGCACAGGTTGGACCCAACCTTAGCTAGCTGGACCTCCACATAAATAGCCCATACTTACTGGAATGGTCTAGACGATGTATATCTAAAGGGGATTCCAGTGACGAACCTGATTGGACCAGGGAGGCGAACGTGGCAAGCAGCAGGAGCAATCTCGATAAGAAAACAGACACCATCTTTGCAGCGGGAGCAATCTTGATAAGGAGCAATCTTTGCCTGCCATGGCTCTACAAGCAGCCTCTTTTTCTCCCACGATTTCCATCCACAAAGAGGTGTATGCAGCTGGTACTGTTGTTCTGAAGAATACTGGACTTTCAGGACTTCCATTTTCAGAACATTTTGAAGTTAAATCCAAATCTCTCAGGTTGAGAAATAAGGTAAATATGCCCATTTTTCAATTTTCTGGTTAGAATTTGATAGTGGAAATGTTTGCAATATAAATTATCTATCCATGAACATGTAGCAAGGAAGATTACCTGATGGAGCCATTAGAGCCCAGACTGCAACAATTTCAGAAATCAACCAGGCGCCATCGGAAGGAAACAAGACCTTGAGGAAAGGAAATGTTATCATTACAGGAGCTTCCTCGGGACTGGGTCTAGCCACGGCCAAGGCTCTAGCTGAAACAGGAAAATGGCATGTAATTATGGCATGCAGGAACTTCCTTAAAGCTCAAATGGCAGCAAAATCAGCAGGCATAGCCAAGGAAAACTATACTGTTATGCATTTAGACCTTGCCTCGCTTGACAGTGTAAGGCAATTTGTGGATAGCTTCCGCAGGTCGGGTATGCCTCTTGATGTGCTTGTATGCAATGCTGCTGTCTACTTGCCAACAGCAAAGGAACCAAGTTTCACCGCTGAAGGCTTTGAACTCAGTGTTGGGACTAATCACCTTGGTCACTTCCTCCTCACACGCCTGCTGCTAGATGACATAAAGCATTCAGATTATACATCCAAGCGTGTTATAATTGTAGGCTCCATCACGGGTACTAATTGAGAGCATTAATTTTGAGTTCTAGAACAAGAGAACGAATGATTTTCTAAGCAACTTTTTTAAGTTTGGTTCCAGGAAACACAAACACATTGGCTGGGAATGTGCCCCCAAAAGCAAACCTGGGTGATCTGAGAGGGCTAGCAAGTGGTTTGAATGGCCTGAACAGCTCGACCATGATAGATGGAGGAGATTTTGATGGAGCAAAGGCCTACAAGGATAGCAAAGTATGCAACATGCTCACCATGCAAGAGCTCCACAGGAGATATCATGAAGAAACGGGAATAACTTTTGCTTCCCTCTACCCTGGCTGCATTGCCACAACAGGGTTGTTTAGAGAGCACATTCCTCTGTTTAGAATTTTATTTCCACCCTTCCAGATGTACATCACCAAGGGCTATGTATCTGAAGAAGAAGCCGGGAAACGACTTGCACAGGTCAGCCATGTCCTGAAAAACTAAACTACTAATAAATTAACTAGTTATTAAGATAAAAGGGCAATTGAATCTTTGACTTCAGGTTGTATGTGATTCAAGCCTGCAACAATCAGGTGTATATTGGAGCTGGAACAAGAACTCAGCCTCGTTCCAAAACCAGCTATCCCAAGAAGCCAGTGACGAAGAAAAGGCCCGTAAGCTGTGGGAGATCAGTGAGAAGCTTGTTGGATTGGCTTAAATGCACCAATCTCAAGCATATAAGCTAGAATTTGACTTAAGAACTTCAGAAATATCTGCTTGTGAAACTGCAAAGAAACCCTTAAACTTTGTTTGCGAAAGTTTTAATGAATTTGTTGTAAGCGATAGCCAGTTTTCAGCAGATATGGTTCTAGTAGAAAGGTTAACAGAAACGCAGATTCCTTATTCATGGTGGAAATTTGATTCATTAGAGAAATAATTGAAAGAAGTTCCGATCTATCGTAAGCTATAAATTGCAGTCATTGAGTAAATAGCTCGATAACAGAACCCAGGTTCTTCTTACAAATCATATACGCCTTAGCTACCTGTTTCAAGATCATACATCGCCATGTTTGGGTTCTGCAGCAGTACATCGAGTGGAATATGAAACAAAGGGAAAAATAGGAAATTTATTTATTTTACAGATCAAAATACTTACATCCCTCCTCAGAGATCATATCCTGGAAACTTGGCCATGGAGGGCTCGATCATGTCCAGAAAAAGATAAGCCATCCCTCCAACTCCTTCAAACAAAGAGTAGCGGCTATCGCCTCCATGCATTTCTCCCTCTGCGATCAGCCTGTGAGCTCTGTCAAGCAGAAAACAAGCAAAGGCTTTGGCCTTGTACAAGTACTCCACCTTCCCCGTCAGTTGGTAGAGTGACAGAAACACATATGAATTCCCACTTACGCCATGACATATCCCAACTCGTTTAAGCAGCCCACGCCTCCACACTACCTCTCCTGCATCCACAGCCGCTTGCACAAACTCTTCTTCTCCAAACACCTTTGCTGCTTTGACAAGCGTGAGGGCGACTCCAGGAGCACCATGACACCAATGCACGAGTATATCTCGGCCCCTGTCTTCTTCACTTGAAGGGTAGTTTCCACTGGGGAAACGATTTCGAATCATGTACCTGTTGAGGATTGTTAGGAGGGAATCCCACGTTGACTAATTTAGTGGAAGATCAAGAGTTTATAAGTAAGGAATACTATTTTCGTTAGTATGAGACCTTTTGGAGAAACCAAAGCAAAGTGGACAATATCGTACCACTATCAGAGTCATGATTTCTAATAATACCTAAGAGTGCCTTTCACGTCTTGAATCTCATCTGGCTTCAGCTCCATGTCCATCAGGATATGCAGAATCCCTGCAAGTCCATGTGCACCACCCCAATACCTCTCACCGTACCACTCGAACATCAATGGCGATGCTCCTCCCTTCGCCAGCGCCCTCCCTCGCTGGATGATTTCCTCTACTATTACCCTCTAAACAATTGTTTTGCAGAATTTCAAATGTGAAAAGTCATACATAATTGACTAAGATGAGCTCAGGTTGATCATGGAAGCCAATCTTACTTACAGTGTGAACCGATGCGACTGTTCCTTCACCGATGTGTTTGTTTAGATATAGACACGCCCACAAGAAACCCACTTTTCCATATAGCAACTCATCCGGGAGATTCCTTGGCAGCTTAATCTGTTGCAATCCAGAAAACCCTTCAAATTAAAAGCTAGACATCAAAAACTTTTGTAGGGATGATGATTCTCTTTACCTCATTGAATTGGGCTAGATAGTAGCAGAGCAACTGCTCATCACCAGCACGCTTTGCTGCCACAGTTCCAATAGCGCAGACACCCGCACGCCCACAAATGAAAGTCACATCCCTATCACCATTCCACAGAATAAAGAAGTCAAAACTATACAGTGAGAGTGTAACAGCCGGGCTTTCTCACAAGGTTTTTAAAACGCATCTGCTAGGTAAAGGTTTCTCCACCTTTATAAATAATATTTCGTTCTCCTCCCCAACTGATGTAGGATCTCACAATCCACCCCCTCTTTAGGGCCCGGCATCCTCACCAGCACTTGTTCTCTTTCTAATTGATGTGGGACCCCTCAATCCACCCCTTTAAGATCCAGCATCTTTGCTGGCACACAGCCTCATGTCTACCCCTTCGAGACTTAGCCTCCTCGCTCTGATACTATTCATAATAACCCAAGCTTATTGCTAATAGATATTGTCCTCTTGAGATTTCCCTTTTAGGCTCTCCCTTGAAGTTTTAAAAATGTGTATGCTAAGAAAAGGTTTCCACACCCTTCTAAAGAATGCTTCGTTCTCCTCCATCTGATATGGGATCTCACATTAATACATGTTTTTTTGTTTATGGCATAAACAATTACAGTTTAGTCATCTTCTGGGAAACTAATATCTTCACATAAAAAATGAAAGTGAAAGGAGAAAGGAGAAAATGGCAAATATTACGTGGACATGGAAGATGCTTGATCGCAGGCCTTAACAATTTGAGCACAGAGACTAAGATCAATGTGGTTGGAAGTGACCTCATGAGCTTTCAACAGCAAGAAAGCCGTTCCAAGAGCCCCAGCATAGAGAGTGAAATCTCGCACTCGTTGCCCAGTTACTCCCCATGTCTCCAAAACTATCTGAAACATTAACACAAACACCTTGTGGGCATTAAAAAAAAACCACCCAAATCAAAGCGACACGCAAAACAACAAGAGGATTACAGCTTCTTTAAGGTCCAAAGCCGCCCGTTTGAAGCGCTCCGAGATAATTGGGTAAGGCATCGAGAGAATTGATTCTACAGCAGCTGCAGTTTCTGGTACGAAGTCGGGCATCGAGTTTGGAAAGCATCGGTCTCCCATTTCCGCTTCAAGAACTTCACTTCACTGCCCGCTTAGTCAATCTTCTAAAAAGTAATTGTAAAAAAGGAATTATAGTTTTGAAAGTAATTATATAAAAAAAATGTTAAAATTTAAATTTTTAGACAAGTTTTTGGATTCTGCGAATATTTTCAAATGCCTAACACGTTTCGCTCGCAGATCGAAACACGTTTATGATTATGGCATTTTCCTGATTACTGTTTCTTGATTCGAACACCGCGTTCATCATCACCGCAAGAATTCGCTAACCTCAACGAACTCAGAAATCCAATCCCGATTCACAACAATGGCTTCCTTCGACGCTTTCGGCAATGAAGAACACGAAGAACAGCGGCGCCATTCGCCTACAACGCCGCCCTTTGACGACGATGCCTACATGGGTTATGACTCTTCTCTCCCTTCCCACCGTTATGATTCTTCTACCACTTTCTCTACCGCCGACCAACTCCCTCATGAAGACGACGTCGTTTCCGATGTCCACAGCGCCGGAAACACCACTAATCCTAATTTATCCGACGTTTACGACTTCGGAGTTTCGGATCCTAATCCGAGCTACGTATCTCCCTTTGATCATGTTGAGGCTGATGGAGAGCATTACAATGTTGCCGCCAGCCTTGGTGGTATTGACAATGGCGGTATTTTTGTCTCTGATGGACCGATTCTCCCCGACCCGAGCGAAATGCGAGAGGATGGCCATGCTCGACGCGAATGGCGACGGTACGTTTTTTACTAGCTTTAATGTTTCTTCTTCTAGAGAGAGAGATTGAATTGGTTTTAGATCTGTGATTCTGATTGTAAGGTTTTCCCATTGTGACCGAATCTGAAATGAAATCGTTTATGAATTTTGAGGTTCTTCAAGTTGATGGAACTTTTGAGCTTGAATCTGAAATGAAATCTCTGGAGATTTTCCATTCTCGTCATAATGACATACAAAATTCACCCAATAGCCTAAGTTGTTTGCTTAACCGGTGGTTTAGATCTTCTTTGTTACTAAATTTCATCCTGCAGAGCTCTGTGTTAATGCAGCTCAAGCGTAGTCTTATGATTTATATAGGGTTTTCTTAGGTTTTTACAACCATTACCATCTAGTTTGTGTTTATGTATTCAAGTTTATTACTCATGATTCATGGAAGTGGGTGGATTGTTGAAGAGAGGAACAAGTTCGAGGACGCTGACCTCTCAAAGGGGTGGATTGTGAGATCCCATACCGATTGGAGAGAGGAACGAGTGCCCGCGAAGACGTTGCGTCCCAAAGGGGGTGGATTGTGAGATCCCACATTGGTTGGAGAGGGGAACGAAGCATTCTTTATAAGGATGTGAAAACCTCAAGGGAAAGCTCGGAAGGAAAAGCCCAAAGAAAACAGTATCTACTAGCGGTAGGCTTGAGTCGTTACGTACTCTTTGTAAAGGTTTACGCTGTGATTGCAACGTTCGAAAGTTCTATCTTGCTGCACAGTCTGAATTATTAGGATCTGTACTTCTCTGCTTTCTCTTATTTCCAAGATGAACTCTATTTCTCATAAGTTTGAAACTGTTGATAGCTATAAACTTTATGGTGCAGACAAAACGCCATAGATCTTGAGGAGAAACAGAAGAAAGAAAAGGAGATGAGGAATCAAATAATGAATGAAGCTGAAGAGTATAAAGCATCCTTTTATGAGAAAAGGAGGGCCAATTGTGAAACAAATAGAACTCACAATAGAGAAAGAGAGAAGGTAAAGCCTCTGAAAGCATTTTGTGAATGTCTCCTTGCTGTGTATTGTTATTTATTTTCCAGTTCTTTGCAGCTTTACCTAATAAACCAGGAAAGATTCCACAAAGAAGCTCACAAACATTACTGGAAAGCAATAGCAGAAATCATCCCACGAGAGGTACCTAATATTGAGAAGAGAAGAGGAAAGAAAGATGCTGATAAGAGTCCTTCAGTCGTGGTAGTTCAAGGTCCGAAACCTGGAAAACCGACCGATCTATCTCGAATGAGGCAGATTCTTTTGAAGTTGAAACAGACCCCTCCGCCTCATATGATGCCTCCTCCTCCCGAACCGGCCAAAGATAGCAAGGATGGCAAAGATACGAAGGAAGGGATGAAATCCGAAGGGAAGGATGTTGAGGACAAGGAAGCTCCTATGTCTCCTGCAGAAGATATGGATGCTAATGATACTCCCGATCGACCCGAAATAGAGGTCGAGGCTCCTACTACAACCGATGCCGTGCAAACTGTTGAGTTGGTGTCACGTTCTGCAGAGTAAGAAATTAATAGCAGTTCATCTTATGGGTTCTCTGTTCATAGAAAAGTTAACAATACAGACTTGCAAAGTTGTAGAGCAGCAGTCCATGTTGTTATTTGATACGCATAACTGTGGGAGGGAACATTCACGCGTAGCACTGATGATTCAACCATCACTGGTGGTCTAACTGGTCAAGTAGTTGGGTCAGAGTCCAAAGCATTTCTAATTATATCATATCTGCAATCGATGTCTACAAGTAGGGAAACTGAATTTCATGTAGAATTGAGAAAGTCCACATCAATTAGACAATGGAGTTTTCGAAGGCACGATGGATGTTCGGGTATTGTATTGTAGTAAACGAGCCACCAACTAGGATACTGAAGAACTATCGAGATTGTTTTTGTCACGTCATTAAGTTTTTTAACGTTTTGTGTCAATTTGCCTCATGCTGCATGAATTTGAAAAATGGGTGGAAAATCTTCTGTGAGATCCGACACCAATGAGAGAGAGAAATGAAACATTTCTTACAAGGATGTGGAAGGAAACTTTTTCCTTCCTGAGTCGACGTGTTTTAAAATCGTAAAGCTGACAGTGATACGTAACAGGGCAAAGTGGACAATATCTGCTAGCGATGGGCTTGGGCTGTTACAAATGATATTAGAGCAAGACATTGGACAGTGTGCCAAGTAAAGATGTTGGATCCCAAGGGGTGGATGGTGAGATCTCACATCGGTTAGAAAGTGGAACGAAACATTTTTCGTAAGAATGTGGTAACCTCCCATTAAGACTGAGGGTGGTACGTAATGGGTCATAAGTAGACAATATCTATTAGTAGGGGACTTAGACTGTTATATCTTTGTTCTTATCTATCATTTGGCTTTCAAAAGTGTCTACAATAACAATCAACTAGGGAAACAAGTTCTTGAGATCGAGCATTATGCTTCTATTTAGATGAACGGAGTATGAGAATTAATAATACACAACAACACCACGCACTCTCTCCACTTAGGAGAGGGCTATCAACATTCAATATTCAATATCCAACACACTCCACAACTAAACAAACAAAAGATACATTCATTGGATGCCATTTCGCACTCCAACGCTCACCTTTTTTCACTAAAGAAAACGGATAACGGCTACTTTTCCTGCCCTGAAGTCTTCCCTTTAGGCATAAAACAAAAAGGAAGCTAATATGGGTTTGTGCATTAAATAAGGAACAAAAATAAGTAAAGAAAGCAACAAAAACTCCTCTTTATCTCTTTGTTTATTAAGAGAAGAAATTAAGTCTGGAAGTGTAAGTGGCTTTGGGAGACCAGTTCCTTGGGATTATATCCCTTGCTGAGAGGCTTCTTCCTGTCGACAACGTTGTTAGTCTCACTGAGAATGGCCCCTTTAAAGGCCCTCCAATGATGCACCAATTTGCCCCCCACAGATGGTTCATATCCACCCACTCCCCCGCCGACCCTGCCTGCCACAAAACATGCATTTCCTTTGGTCAATATCATGTTTAGTCACCCACAATTCTTTTATAATCATGTGGCTAAGTGCATGCTTTTTCTTCTAAAGATTCTTCCACTGGGATTCAACTTTCAACGTGTAATTAAGCACCACGCCCTCTAAAACACCCAGCTTTTCTATCTTTTTTTGTCTTAAATTATTGTGATTAAAGCAATGGAATATGCTTCAGAAAGCCCCATCAGTACTAAGTTTGTTTGTTTTTTACTTACTTCTTTGATTTGCATTGCGCCGATGTCGCCATCGCCGTCCTCGAATTCAACCAAGAGTGAGAGCCAGTAATCTGTCGACCCTTCATTGACATGGAACGCAATGTGCTTGCCTGGGTACTTACACGGCGTCCTACACATTTAGAACATCCAAAAATAAGCGACAAAATAGAAAAGCAGAGATAAAAAATGAAACAGAGTTGCAACGAATTTGTACCGTCTGTAAATAACTGGGATTTCGCCTCGGTTTCTGAGCTGCCCACCTTCGCCGGTGATGGCCATGCGGCCGAAGGCGGCGCCGCTCAGATCGAAGTGGGTGTTGCCATTGGAACAATACCCACCGGGGCATTCGTCGGTGACGATTATAGTCACTGCTCGTCTAGAGCAAATGTTGTTGTCTAAACATTTTACTTTGTAACAAGCTCCACAACCTTCGCCATTTCTGAACAGAACTGGACTCACAGCCCCAACTCTTGCCTTTAGAGGCTTCACATCCACTGAATTACCATACCCACATGCTCCACCTGCGATTTCACAGCTCAAATCGCTTAATTTCTAGCAGCAATGAACTTCAAAATGGTGATATTACGGTTGGTTTAAGTGATTTATGAACTGGGTTTTTGTTAATTCAACCGTATATAATCAAATTTTTTACCGAATTGACTCAATGACGGTAACTTCCAGGCAGTATTTCACAAAAACAGAGCCGACCCATGAATTTACAGACCCTAATATGCCCAAAACGAAAAAAAAAAATGTAGGGAAATGGAACCGCCGTACCGTCGCTACCGTCTCCCTCGGGACTTCCGTACCACGTGGCGGTGGCTGGAAGCCAATGTAGATCCGCCACATGGTGTTGGAGCTGAGCCGTCGCCGAGAACCACTCAAGCACAGCCGCAGCACAGAACAAAGCTCTAACGATCCGAAAACCACGGCAGTGGAGGAGGAGATGCATTTGCGTCTGCATAGGCAGCGACACCGCTTGCTCAGCCGATAATGTCAGTTTCCGGCTAGCACAGTGACCGAGAAAAACAGTTGAGTGAGAGGATTGTGGAGGGTGTGGCCGGCGGTGTTTGTTGGAGAGGAAGTATAAGAAGATGTTGCAGGTCAGACTGGAAGGGGGCCGTTAAGTAAATATAAAAAAGTATCAATAGTAATATCATATGGACCACTGATTTTGACTTTAATTACAGAATGCCCCTCATGTGGGACCCTTCGACAGTTGAGGCTTCGCATAATCGTACGGCGTCTAAGAAAATAGTGTTTTTCCACCGTTAATTAGGCCACGTGCCCTACATACTACTAAATTTATTAAAATCATATAATATATACTCTTTTAACTCTGATTTTGTTTATTAAATATTAATAAAATTTTAAAATATACAAATAGAACTGCTAAATTCATTAAAATCATATAACATATAGTTAATATTCATGACGTGACAATATATTTTCAAAATTTATGAAAATATATACAAACTATTTTTTGTTGTAAAAAAATATCTATAATAAACTATAACCTTAAGAATTAAATTTAATATTTATTAGAAATACACTCGTTAAATTTAGAAATTGGACCATGTGTTAGTGAGAATGCTTACCATTCCACTGCTAGCAAGTACTAGTAGTAGGCTTGAGCTTGGATCAAAGCCTGTGTGCCAGTGAGAATACTTACCATTCCACTACTAGCAAGTACTGAGTAGGAGAATGCTTACCATTCCACTGCTAGCAAGTACTGAGTAGGAGAATGCTTACCATTCCACTGCTAGCTAGCGAGTACTGAGTGGTGGGCTTGAGTTTGGAACAAAGCCAGACATTGGACCGTGTGCTAGTGAGAATGCTGACCCCAAAACATGGAAGCCTCTCCTTAATAAACGTGTAATAGGAAAGTTTAGATATAAAGACTACGTTTTTAAAAGAAACACGAGGAGGAGCGGATATCGAGAAAGGGAAAAAAAAGGGAGAAAAGTGAGAATAATATTTGTTTTTGTTTTGGGTGAAAGAGACAAGGAAGGAGAGGGTGGGAAAGGCATTTTTGTGAGATGAGTGTCCGATGAATACGGCGACGGAAGACTTTGAAGTATTTGTTCACAATTAGGCCGTTTGCATGAATTAAACCAAAAAGAGAAAGAATTATTATAATTTTTAAAAAAATTGTTGTTTTTGAAACTTTAGAGAAAAAGGGGAGAATTTTGAGGACAAATAATCCAAAGAGTTTACAAATAAATCCAATATCCATAACAAACTGGACCCACTTGGTTGGATGTTTGTAATCAATTCTCTCTTATCTGTCCCTTTTCACATGCAAATTCTCTCCCACTTTCATTTTTTCACCGACATTCATGTTAATCACACCTACCAAATTCATAACGCAAGCGTTAAAACGTTTCTATGCCTCTGAATCGATAGGATGGGATGTCTAATCTAAAAGTTATAGGCAAAGGAGATAAGGAAGAGACTTCGAATATGTTCGAGACTCAACCTGTGAGATCCCACCTTGATTGGAGAGAGAAACAAAACATTTCTTATATAAAGGTGTGAAAAACTCTGCTTAGTAGACACATTCTAAAATTGTGAGGCTGACGACGATACGTAATGGACTAAACCGAACGATATCTATTCGGTGGGCTTAGGCCATTACAAATAGCATTAGAGCCAAGGATGGTATGCAACGAGGACACTAGCCCCCAAGAGGATGGATTGTGAGAACCCACAGTTGGAGAGAGAGGAATGAAGCATTCCTTATAGATGTATGAAACCTCTCCCTCGTAGACGCGTTTTAAATCTGTGAGGACGTGTGTATCGATCTGGGTCATTACAAATGGTATCAGAGCCAGACACCGAACTATGTGCCAGCGAGGAGGTTGTTTCCCAAAGGGGTAGACACGAGACAGTGTGCCAGTAAGGACACTAGCCCCAAAAGGGGGTGGATTTGGCAGGGGTCCCACATCGATTGGAGAAAGGAAAGAGTGTCAACGAGGACGCTGGGCCCCGAAGGAGGGTGGATTGTGATGTCCCACATTGGTTGGGGAGGAGAACAAAATACCATTTATAAGGGTGTGGAAACCTTCCCCTACCAGACACGTTCTAAAGTCTTGAAGGGAAGTCCGAAAGGGAAAGCCCAAAAAGAACAATATTTGCTAGCGGTGAATCTGGGTCGTTACAGGACGACTTTTAAAAACTCTAGGAACCAAACCAAAATGTTCGTTACAAGATCTTGTATCTTAGAAGATCTGAACAAATGACAGACTGACTACAGTGAATGGTAAGATCTGAAATTAACAATAATATAATCTGTTTTTGTTATTATTAAAGTCTATTAGATTACTCAAGAACTATGAACGTTTAATACCTGATGCCATAATACATGCAAACAAAGATGCAGCAAAATCAAGGCATGATGAAAACACATGTGGCTAACGAATCGTATCTGAAAAGGATTTTAAAAACAGATATCAATTTCTATAATGTTATTTGCACTGTATATTATATTGTCAATATGACATCAGAACAAACTAAGCTTGTGCTGACATGATGTACAGAGTTCAAGAAGAGAATAGCTTACTATGATCCACGAGAGGGTTGATTTACATTATGTTGCTACCAAGAACTCCATGACCGGTTCGAGTTTTCGGGTTTAGTTTCTTTCCTGACAGGAAAAGAATGGCAAAATGAATCAATATAAAGCCAAGTACGTGCCATAAATGAGTGAGCCCAATGGAGGAGATGGCACACCTAAACTGCAGTGGGAGGATTCAATACAAGTTAATATGCTGCTTCTGTTGCAGGGTTACTGCAAGGGTCAAAGAAATCAGATAGTTTCGTAGATATTGATTTTATGGCATGAACAGGGTAATTAATATGCTCAACAACTTGGGTGAAATAAGAAAACACTGGAAATCATCCGTTCTAATCAGTCCGAAGGAAAAACTCAAAGAGGACAATATCTGCTGGCGGTGGCCTTGGGTCGTTACAAATGGTATCAGAGGCAGATACCGGGCGGTGTGCTAGCGAGGACGCTAGGTCCCCAAAGGAGGTGGATTGCGAGATCCCACATTGGTTGGAAAGGGGAACGAAACATTCTTTATAAGGGTGTAGAAACCTCTCCTTAGTGGACGTGTTTTAAAACCTTGATCGGAAGTCCAAAAGATAAAATCTAAAAAAGACAATGGACCGAATGACACATGTAATTGGTGAATGAAGAGCATTCTTAAGAAGTGGAGCATACTCATGGTCGTATAGCGACGTGTGCCAATTGCTTTTAGTGCCATTGCAAACAAGGGAGACGTACCCTGAGACAATCGCTTTTAGTTGTCTTCATTTGGTTCCTTTTTTTCTTGATGTAATCAAATGTTCTGCCTGCATATGATCCATAAATTCATCGCCATCATCAAGTATTTCCACACTGGCATGATAAAATTGCAATAGAAGTGCTCATCATGTACCTTCTATAGCCATCTCGATCCGCAGAGTAGTGGAACCCAAACTTCTTGTAGCCGCAGTCCTCAGAGGATTAACATGAAGACCCATACGCTGAATGTTTCTGGTTCTGCACTTAACAATGGCTGCCTTCACCACTGCCTCTCCAAGACCATGAATCCTCCCGTTCTACGTGTAAAGTCTAAGCACACCGCTAGCAGATATTGTTCTCTTTGGAGTTTCCTTCAAGGTTTTTAAAAGGCGTCCACTAGGGAGAGGTTTCCATACTCTTAAAAAGAATGTTTCATTCTCCTCTTCAACCAATGTGGGATCTTACAATCCGCCCTCCTTCGGGGCCTAGCGTTCTTGCTAGCACACATCCTTGTGTCCACCCCTTCGGGGTTCAGCCTCCTCGCTGGAACATCATCCGGTGTCTACCTCTAATACCATTTGTAACAGCCCAAGTCCACCTATAACAAATATTGTTCTCTTTGGACTTTCCCTTTCGCATCTCAACGTTTTTAGAATGCGTCTAGGAAGAGGTTTCCACATCCTTATAAAGGGTGTTCCGTTCACCTCTCCAACCGATGTGGGATCTCACAATCCACCCATTCGAGGCTTAGGTTTCCACACCCGTTCTCCTCCTCAACCGATGTTGGATCTCACACTTTGTTTACAACCAACGTAAGAGGAAGGACAAAATGGCTCTTGAGAGATGCAGATGTTCGAAATTACCGAACAACTCAACTGTTTTAAAAGCTTTCCTAGAAAGCCCGGATGGGAAAAAGGGGGAGATTTTCTCTCAGCCCTTTTATCAAACAGGTTATGTGCACAAAAAAAGTTGCAAAACCGACAGAACCGGGACTGATACAGTAAGCTACCCAGATTACAAGCTTATAGTCATAATCCATCCAAACAAACCTAAATCGTTGCCAAGCTCGGCAGCTTTCGCATTCAGCAGACTAATTTGTGGATAATTTTGAATCAAAATTTCTAACTTGAGAGCAGTAAATAGACTTAACTTGGAGTTGAAGTTTAGAATTGGTACGTAAGGCGCGTCGGCGTCCCAGGCTTACGTTACAAGCAAGGCACGTGGCGATGGATCCTTCAACAATCTGTCTCTTTAGCTTATCTCAATCAACAAAGCCAACAATCCACTTACGCATCTCGATTTCCTCATATTCGAATCTTCTTCCTCTTCCGCTACACTCGCTTCTATCTTTATAATATCAACTGCCTAATCTGAGCCGTCCATCACACATCTTAACAACAAGTTTTCAATCCAACGGCTCAGAATGCCTGACTTGCTTTGTTTCGGTGCTCAATCCCACGATACCTTTTAATTAATTAAGTGCACATGTTCTTCATTGTTCGTCTTCTTCCTTTCGATTCAACTATTGTTCGGTTGTTTGTATTTTGCTTTCCGGGAAAATCTTCGAAGAAATCGGTTCAGCTCTCAGTTTTAATCTGCAGGTTTCTGGAATTTGTGAGCTTTACATCATTTTTCCATCCATTTCCCCTCCCTTTTTCGAAATCTTCGACTTCGTTTTGCCCTCCGATTTGTAACCAATGGAGATGGAGATGGAGTTGGAGTTGGAAGGTTCGTATTCGCACGCTTTGTATTCCATTTCCCGCGTATCGCTCACCGAGGATGGAAGAACTCCGCGGTTTTCGATAAAACCATTACGAAGTCCGCAGCGAATATCTAAACCTACGCCCTTTTAAGTTTTCTTTAGGGTTTCATTAATTTCATAGGTTTTGGATGTGTTTTGGTCTGAAATTTCGAAGATTCTATCTCGAATCTGAGAATATTTGTTGAATTGTGTTCAATTTGAAAATTGGTTGTTCCTGTCGTTGAGACTACTCGAAGTTTTCATGGTCGATGAAATATTTCTTTTCGATTGTATGTGCTTTAGGGTTTCATATGGCTCTCATAAGCTGTAGTTTCTCTTCGAATCCCTCAATCCCAACTTGTTAGCTCCAAAAAAAAAAAAAAAAAAAAAA